CCTCGTGTCCCTCTTCTGCCCCACGCCCCCCCTCCACCTTAATCTCGCTCCTGGGCCCTTCTCCCATGCCTCCCGGGACCTCACCTGTCACCAGCAGTTCCAGGACATTGCTGGACTGGGACCAGACCCCCCGTTCCCAGTCTGTCCTGCGATAGCGGCAGTAATAACTGCCCCCCTGGGCCAGAGTCACCTCCTCCAGGAAGAACTCAGCCAGCTCCGCGGACACATCCCTGCAGCGCAGAGGGGTAAGGACCCCAGTTCTGAAGAGTGCGAACCTCCAGGCAGGTTGGGGGGCGCGGCACCTCAAGGTCACGTTGACTCCAGGAGTCACAACTGCAGCAGGATGAGCCCCCAGCCATGGCTGGGGGGATGAGGCTGGGGGAGCTTAATAAAGAAAAGTGCTTGGAATCTCAGGACCCTCCATTCCAGCAGCCTCAGGAGACTAAGCAGATGTGGGACAGACTCCCATCTCTCTTGCTCTTAAGTCTCTATAAAGTAGGGGAGGGCCAGGGGTATAATTACAGCTGGCCCAAACTAGCTGAAAATTACAGGACTCTAACATTGAGCTTTTTTGTTTGTTTGTTTTGTTTTGTTTTTTTGGTTTTTCGAGACAGGGTTTCTCTGTGTAGCTTTGGAGCCTATCCTGGCACTCGTTCTGGAGACCAGGCTGGCCTCGAACTCACAGAGATCCGCCTGCCTCTGCCTCCCGAGTGCTGGGATTAAAGGTGTGTGCCACCGACGCCCGGCTTGTTTTGTTTCTTCAAGGCAGGGTTTCTCTGTGTAACAGGCATAACTGTACTGGAACTTGTTCTGTAGACAAGGCATGCCTACAGTTCACAGCGATCCACCTGCCTCTGCCTCCTGAGTGCTGACATTAAAGGCTTGCACAACCATTGCTGTTAGATAAAGCATGAGGGAACCTTGTGTAGGGGACCTTGGCGGATTCCAGAGAGAGGACAGAAGAGAAGAGGAAGACAGGAAAAGTCCTATCTGCCCCAGGGGAACCGTGGGGAAGAGAACGGAGGGGACCCCTTCCTCATCTTACAATCCTCCTCCCCTAAGGTACCAAGAATGCCCACCGCTAACTCGGAATTTTTTTGTTATGGAATATCTGTTTACACTGTGAAGGTGTGTCTTTGCCAAGGCATCTTCTGATTGGTTTAATAAAGCTGAATGGCCAATAGCTAGGCAGGACTTCCAGGGACAGAGAGGACTCTGGGAAGGAAGGCGGGGACACCTTTGAGACATGGGAGAGTCGGACACACAGAATGGGAGGGAGGTAAAAGCCACGTGGTAGACCATAGACTAATAAAAACATGGGGTAATTTAAGTTATAAGAGCTAGTGGGACAAGCCCAAGCTAATGGCCAAGCTTTCGTAATTAATAAGTCCTTGTCTTTATTTGTGAACTGGCAGCCCAAATGAAGGTCTGACTGCAGGTTTTACCCATAGTTATTTGTTTGCGTGCCAAGGATTGAACCCAGGACCTTATGCATTGTGGGTAATCACTCACTACTAAGATACAGCCTCAAACCGCCTCCATAATTTTTTTTTTTTTGAGACAAAGTCTTGTGTAACTGGCAAGCCTTGAACTCGCTTTGTAGTGGAGAATGACCTCGAACTTCAAATCCTCTTGGATCATAAGCATGTGCCACCATCAGGACCACTACCTCCCCTCCCCATCTATGCAATCTTTCTAGGTCCACCAACCAAGCTAAACCCCAAACCCCTTCTCCACAATTTTAAGGCATAGTTTCAAAACATACCATAAATGGTTACTTTGTTTTGTTTGGTCTTATTATTGCTGGTTTTTTTTGTTTATTTGTTTTGAAACAAAGCCTCACTATGTAGCTCAGTTTGTCCTAGAACTCACTAGTGGTGCAGGCTGGCTTCAAACTTGTAATCCTTCTGCCTCAGCTTCCAAGTGCTAGGATGATAGGGCTGTACCATCACACCTCACTATAAGAGGTTATGGTTTGCCGCATGGCAGTAATTACTGTTATGGTTTAAACATGTTCCCCAACTTAGTCTTTGCTATAACAATGTTGAGCCGGGCATTGGTGTCGCACACCTTTAATCCCAGCACTCGGGAGGCAGAGGCAGGCAGATCTCTGTGAGTTTGAGGTCCAGCCTGGTCTACAGGGCGAGTTCCAGGACAACCTCTAAAGCAATACAGAGTAACCCTGTCTCAAAAAACAATAACAATGTTGGAAGCTGGTTCCTTAACAGATAGTAGAATAGGGAACTGAAGAGATGACTCAATAGTTAAGAGTGCTTATTGCTCTTGCAGAGGACCTAGGTTTAGCATGTAGCACCCACAGTGGGCAACTGATAACTACTTGTAACTCTAGCTCCAGGGGATTCTTGACACCTCTGGCCTCTGCTGGGCACCTGCACTCATGTACACATGCTTCCCCAAAGACACAAACACATACACATAATTTAAAAAAATAAATCTTTTTCTTAAATAGGTGATAGAATAGAAAACTCGGTGTAGTGGGGTATGTGTAGTCATCCCTCAGGGAGGGCTGGTGGGCGTGACTCAGTGGTAGAACACCTCCTTAGAATGCCCCAGTGAGGAGCTGGGAGTGTTGCGGAGCGGGCACTAGCCCACTAGCTACAAGACCATAGGTTCAAACCATCCTTAGTACATATCCAAACAACAAAAGCATAACATGATCAATGACCCAATGATTCCGCTGCCTCACCGTAGGCAAACTTATTTGTAAATAAATTTCAAAAATAAAAAAATAACGACTGGGAAAGAGCTCCAAGACAGATGGTTAAGTTTAACATTTAAGATCCAGAACAGAATGGGTCATGAAATACCAACTTTGATCTGGCCAGAAAAAGGGGAAGTGTATAAATGCGTGGTGTGTATGAATGCATGGAAAATTTTTTTGTAGATCCCGAAGCTTGTTTCAGGAACACAGGAAGGGGAAGATTGTTGTATCTTTTTGACTGAGTCTTTGTAACCAGGATTACCCATTAGCTTTATCATTTTAAATAATAATGACAAAAGGAGTTTAAAACCAGGGGGCTGGAGAGATGCCTCAGCAGTAAAGGGGGACTTGCTGCTTTTGCAAAAGACTGGGGTTGGATTCTCAGCACCCCATGGTGGCTCACAAGCACCTGTAACTCCAGCTCCAGAGAATCCTAAAGCTGTCTTCTGAACTCTGCCAGCACCAGGCACGCATGCGGTGCAAATACATGCATACAGGCAAAACACTCACATAACGATGAAATTAAGTTAACTGATAACTCAGGTATGAATGGCTTCCCAGATGGCTCTCATTCAAAACTGGAATCCAATGGAAGAAAGTTAAAGAGAAAGGAAAGACGAACTCCATCAGAAAGTCTAAGGTGAGACCATCTTGGGATAGGGGAACCCTCTTTTTATGGAAAGCAGGCTCCAATGAGAGACGCTGGTATAACTGGCATTGCAGGAAACCCTATGTCTGGAGGCCCGGACTGTGCCAGGATCTGAGCCTACGGGTTACCTATATAATTATATTAAATCTTTACTGCAGCCCATTTTCCAGAGAAGGAAATGGAGTCTTCAAGATCCCTGGTTTGTTCAAGGCTATGCAATGAAGATGATGGTGTATGAGCTAGTGGGAGCTCACTGACTCTCCACGGACAGCCGGGGAAGCTGCATGGGACCAAACTGGGCCCTCTGAACGTGGGTGACAGTTGTGTGGCTTGGGCAGTCTGTGAGGTCACTGGCAGTGGGACCAGGATTTATCCCCAGTGCTTGAACTGGCTTTTTGGAGCCCATTCTCTATGAAGGAATAACTTGCTCAGCCTAGATGGGGGAGGGGGGGGCTGGTCCTGCCTCAAAGAGATGGACCAGCCTTTGTTGGCTCCCCATGGGAAGCCTAACCGTCTCTGAGGAATGGATGTGGGGGGGGGAGATGGGGAGAGTGGGAGGAGGGGCAGGTGGGGAGAGTGGGAGGAGGGGCAGGAGTGGTATGTAAAATGAGAAAAGATTGTTTTTAAATAAAAATATCAAAAAAAGATGGTCTCGTTTAGTCCACATCCATGGTATTCTATACTCACCTATAATGATCCCTAAAGGGATGAAGAAAAGGGAAGGGAGAGGAGAGGAAAGGGGACGAGGAGGAAGGGAACGGGGAGAGGGGAGAAGACGGGGAGAAGGAGGGGGAGGGCAAAGGAGAATGAGGGAAGGAAGGAAGAGGAAGAAGGAAACGAGGTGAGGGAAAGAGACAGGAGAAAAGGAAGAAAGAAAAGGAATACGGGAGGTAGAGGATGGATGGATGGATAGAAGAGAGGAGAGGAGGAGACGGGAACAAAGAAATCTGGGGTGAAGGTGGCCATCAAACTAAGTGAGCGGTTGTAGACGGGTTGTGAGCAGCATAAAGGAGAGCCTTTGGAGTGCGCCACTCACCTGTCAGTGTGATGTCCGTATGACATGCAGGCCCTGCAGAAGGTTAGGAGCCAGTTCTTCACAAAGCTTTGTGACTACCCGTTTTCCCTCATTGGGAGCCCTGGGATCTGATTACACAGCTTCTGTTTCCTCCGGAAACTAAGACTCCTATCCCCATCTTTCTAAGGATCCAGCAAAACTCCAGACTTCCATTCCCCAGATTCTTAAGAAGCCGGTGGTCTGACTCCCCCTTGGGGTTTGGAAGACTGGATACCCTCCCTCTTTCCGGTGCAGGAGTCCTGTCCCTCTGCCACGAGATCTGAGTATATTCCTTGACCCCAGATACCACTTACTTTCCTCCCGCCTGGAGATGCAGAGAAACCTGTGCTCACCCCAGTCTGCCTGTCTTCCCCCACTTAGGACCCGGGTATCTGGGTACCAGTTCCGACTCCCTTTTTCTAAACTGGATGTTGAATTCCAGATGATCAGAAGCAGATGTCAGCCCAGCCAAGGACCCCCCCCCCACACACACACAGAGGGGAGGGACAGCTCACAGAGGGTCAACAGCTGGATTGTCAGCCACAGGATCATGGCGGGCACTCTCCGTGGAGCTGGGGAAAAGACAGATCCTGCCTTCTGCCTGCCGAGGGAATGAAGCAACACCAGAAAGCCGTGTGAGAGCCCTGTTTAGGGAAGAGAGGAGTCAGGTGGAGGCCCCTGGGTAACTGTGTCATAGCCCCGCTGTCT